TATAGATTTTTCACTACAAAATCATAGTTATCATCACTGCTAATCATAATGTCATGTATTACATTTTCATCAACAACAAAGTTCCCAATATTTGCCTGAGAAATACATTCACGGGGAAATTTCGGTTTTAATATTATCTTAGCAAAATACTGGACACAATCTTTGCAGTAAACCTTGATAAATATCCCTATAATTATAGTACTTTCAACCAAAATTATCCTAATAAAAAACACTTTTTGCACTTGGTTAGTAATGAAATTATCAAAACGTAGATCATCGGCAAAATATCGCCAAGGATCCCTCTAATCATTTTTCCCTTCATTTATTGCTTTTCTGATGTCTTTTTGCAATTCTTTATACTTATTCGCCGCAAAATGCGTGAGTCCCCTTGGTAGGATGACAAACGTATATGGTAAATGTATCTCAGATAAATACGACTTATTACTTGAAGCGTTGTAGTGTCTAGTCATAGCACTGAAAGTATGTTGGCCATAATAATTTTTGCAAACGCATGCGTATGAGTTTATAGTTTGTTTCCCAGTTTATGCAAGAGTAGATGAAATGTGAATAGAATTATCTTACAAGAACGCAGTTAAAAACCAAACTTCAAACGTTCCACAAATAAATAAACAATGAAATTGCAATACCATCGCAAGATATACTCATAAAAAGCCAGTCTAAAACAAGATCTACCTACCAACAAACATACAGGTAACTTAGGTGGTCCTCAGCTGGCCCCTAAATAAAATTGTGTACTAGTTCAGTGAAAATGGACGTCACACTAAACTCCAAAACATATAAATGAACTAAAATTAAAAAACATACAAGACTAACAAAGGCCAGAGGCTCCTGACTTGGGACAGGCGCAAAAATGCGGCGGGGTTAAACATGTTTTGTGAGATCTCAACCCTCCCCCTATACCTCTAGCCAATGTAGAATAAAGAAACACATAGCAATACGCACAGTAAAAATTCAGTTTAAAAGAAGTCCGAGTCCGATGTCATAATAGGTAACAAAAGAAACTAAGCAAAATGACAATGATACATAAAAGAGGGACGAAAGATACCAGAGGGACAGTCAAACTCATAGATCGAAAACAAACTGACAACGCCATGGCCAAAAATAAAAAGACAAACAGACAAATAATAGTACAGATGACACAACATAGAAAACTAAAGACTAAGCAACACGAACCCCACCAAAAACTGGGGGTGATCTCAGGTGCTCTGGAAGGGTAAGCAGATCCTGCTCCACATGTGGCACCCGTCGTGTTGCTTATGTTATTACAAATCCGGTAAATAGTCTAATTCGGTAAGTCACATTCGTGAAAAGGGAAGGGTATTGTAGTTACGACATAAGGAACATATCCGATATCATCTGTGAAACGGTTATTCCATAACGGTCAACCAACTCGTGATGGCGTCCGTAAAATTTATGAAGGGATGATTTCAACTTCACCATTTGGAACTCTTGGCTTAATAGCTTCTTTGTGAGCAGCAATCCTCTATCAAGGAAATCATGATAGGAAACACAAGCCCGGGAATATCGTATCAATTGGGAGATATATACTCCGTATGCAGGCGCTGCTGGAATGTTGCTACATAGAAATGGAAAGTTCACAATTGGGAAGCTGAAATCATCTCTTTTGTCGTAAAGTTTTGTTTACAACCGACCCTCATTGTCAATTTCTAGATGTAAGTCAAGATATGAGGCAGACTTAACTGTATCTGTAGTATCCTTTATCTCTAGTTCGATGGGAAAGATTCGTTCAACATAGTCACCAAATTTTGTATTATTTAGTGAGAGAACATCATCTATATAGCGGAACGTAGAGTTAAAGGATATTGCTAACTTTTTATCTTTCTTCCTTAGAAGTTCCTGTATGCAGTCAGCCTCATAATAATAAAGAAACAAGTCGACAAGAAGAGGGGCACAATTGATTCCCATTGGATTTCCGACAGTCTGTTGAAAAACACGTCCTCCAAACGTAACAAATATGTTGTCAATCAAGAAATCAAGCATCTTGATAATGTCAGTTTCAGAGAATTTTTTGTTTGAATCAGAGTGATTCTTTGCAAAGTAGGATTTATCCCTCCCCAAGACAAGATACTTGTATCTACGTTCGCCATTCTTTTTAATGAAACAAAGTAATGCCAACTCTTTCAATTTGTCTTTTAGTTTGGAATGGGGAATACTTGTGTAAAGTGTAGAAAAGTCAAATGTTTTAATACTATTGCAAGATGAGAGAGTCTTAGATTGTATGTGCTCTAAAAGATCTTTCGAATTTTTTAGTATCCACATCTGATTCACGTCACCTCTAAAATAGGCAGTTTCACAATAACTTTGGAGCCCGGCTTTGATTGCTGAAAAAATAGATGTTAATAATTTAGAAAGAGGTTTCGTGGAGCACTTGGAAGACCCAGCAATATACCGTTGTTTGTAAGGATACTTATGTAGTTTAAGTATCCAATACAGTGATGGAAGATCCAGTTCTTCATCTTTGGTTGAAATTCCAAAGGAACATAGAACAGACCTATGATTATCCAGGATTTCCTCTTTGGTAAGTGTCGTGAGGGTATATGTTGAGTTTCCAAGTGAATTGTGAATACCTAATTCATTTATCAAGCAGTTTATGTAATGATATTTACACACAAAAACGATGTTGTTTGGGGCTTTATCTGCGGGGACAACAACATATTTGTCATGGAGGTAGGACAAGTGTTTTGCAACATTTGGGTCTTTAAAAATTTATGTAGCGTGGGTATTGATATGCCCATTTAGTTTCTTAATTCGGATTTGTATCAACGACCTCACAGCCTTAATCCATTCGGAAAGAGTATCTACGTCTTCTCTCTCGCGTTTAGCCCATTGCCTGGCATGAATGAACAAAGGACTACTAGCATTCTCTCAACTAAACTAAATGTGCCTATTGTTTGTTTCTTAATATGAAAAAAAATAATATATATATATAAACTGTACATATTTAAAGTTAAATAAAACTTGTAAAGTTTATAAATAAAAGAAAAATTGTAATTAACTTTAAAGCAACCTCACACAGGCATGCGCCAGAAAGTAATCCTCAAAATGTTGATGGTTACCTAAAGATGACATACTGGAGAAAAAGTTCTGAATAAAAAATATCATTACAATAGAGCTGGGTGGATGGGTATTTCAAGAATTATAACTTTAAGTCGAACGACGCGTCAACTTAATAAAAACTATGACCTGTTCAGAGAAAACGGATAATAAGAATGACGGTAGGAAGATTAATGATTTGAAAGGAAAACTTTACTGAGTAGAAATTAAACAGGACCAGTTGAAATGGACCAGCTACGTTAAATTGTAAAAGTCACTACACCAATGAAAACAAATGTATCACTCTAACCGTTCAAGCGGATTAACTGAACCAGCACTAAGGAAAAGTAAATGCTTATAGTCATAGAAAACAAATAAAAGATAAATGAATTTTAATTATGCATTTTTAGGATAAATATTATACCATGAAGTCGTTTGCAGATAAACCTAGATTTGTTTTGTGTACATAAGCACGGTGGATACAAGGATATTTTTTTTAAACTATTGGAAATAATTCACAGTGTTATTTTTATGCATCTGATTATGCATAAAGCACAACTTTTCCCCCTGATGTTATTCAAGTGTTACTGCAAGTCAATATACAATACACAGAAGAAAAACAAAACTTACATTGTAACACCCATGATCCTGTTGAAATGCATTGTGAAAAATATACTCTGTACGCATATGTCTTTACGGGTCAATTAATTTTAACTTCTCAGATTTTCAGAGAGGTTGGGGGGGATTATCAAAAAAACTGTGTGAATTATGAATTGTATCCTAAATCGATCCTTTGATGTTGTCCCTATTAAGATTATTCGAATGTAATTATCATTTATTAGTATTGCTCAAACATTAGCTGGCTACCGGTCTTATGTTACCTTCATTATATGCATATTGTAGATATAATACTTGTGAACTATGATTTTGCGTCATGGTGAAATAAAATGATCATTTAGCAAGTGTTACATTTCTGTAGTTATTTACACCCGTGCCCGGTCTTTGGTGGATAGTTAACAATCATATATAATCTTATTTCTAGGGGTAATGCCACCATTGATTTTCCCCTTTTAGTCTTTATTAAATTGGTACTTCAAAAAATTTGCAGAAATTATTTTTGTTTCAAATACAGAAATACTTGGCATAAGGGAAGTTTTATCCTGTCCGGTAAGGCAGACAACATTTCACATACATTTCATCACATATACATCACTGGAAGTTAACCAATCATATGTTCACCCCTTTTTCCTATTTACATGCTTTAGTAACCATATAACCTCAAGTTTCCAAAATATTTTATAGAAACACCAAATAAAAAAAGAATGGTGCTTTGAAACACCCAGGATATATGTTTATGTAAAAGCAGGGTTTACTTCCTACAACTGTCAAATCCAAGGGAATATTTTTTTCGACCCTTTTTCGTATGAAACCTGATATGACGTTCTATGATTTGGTGGTATAACACCTTCTTCATATGTATTCATTTTAAATTAATCGAAATTGGGCTTAAACTTATGCCAGAAGAAAAGGAACCAGTTGTACATTATATAAAAGAGAGGAAAGGGAACATTCATTATAATAAGTCGGAGAAAATTACAGAAAAATTCTTGCAAAATAAAAAACGACGAAAAAAAACACGAGCAACACGAACCCAAATCAAAACCGATGATAATCTTCCGAAGGGTACACAGATCCTGTTCCATTAGTAGCACTCGTCGTGGTAGGTTGCATTCGGTGATTTCAAAATCTACAAAAAGCGGACGGGATAGTATATGAAGATAGTATCTCCTCAAACCAAACTTTTATATATATAAATAAACAAATTTAGTAACAAAAAAGTTAGATTAACTTAGGTTTTACTGTAGTTACATGTACTTTACATAAGCCCAGATAAAGGATCAATCATTACATGTGATTTCTTGTGAAACTTCGATATTTTAAAATAATACGATAGAGTGGTCATGTTCAGAGGAATTGTATATCTAGTCTTGGTAACCGTTGTTTTTGGATTTCCATGGTTTAGAAATAATATTCCAAACGGAAATTTAGTACCAGATCCTTGCAACGGACAGACTGATCAGATATGGCGAGGAGTAGGACACGACAAGGAACCAGGAGGAGGGGCTCGAAATCAATTTGGACTGGTAAAAAAATCTTCTTATTACTAGTATTTTCTAATCATAATCAATTATTGATATCAATGCAAACGAAAATAGGTCATATATATCTACATCCTCGTTTTATCTTTGATGTATATTGGTAATGATATCACATCTCATTTATATTTGTATATCAATGAAACATTGAGATGTAAAAATAATTGAATTTATTTTCGGATATCCGTTAAATAATTGAAAAGTTTATAATTTTCGTCTAAAAAATGAAACAAAAAAAAAGGCCTGTAGTTCTGTAGACATTTTGGTTTTGTTTACTGCTAAACAGCAAACATGTTATGGAATACCGCTGCACATCCGCTTTACGGATATTAAGGTAAACGAAAATAGATCCTTTGTCTACATCATCGTGTTTTGTTTGATGATGGATAATTGTCTCATTGGCAATGATACCACATTTCTTTTATATTTGTATACAAAACAAATACCAAAATTAAGAAAAAAAAATAATGGGAAAGTGCACAATTCTCGTCTGATAAATGAAAACGTACGGGTTACAGTTCTGCATACATTTTGCTTTTGCATACTACTAAACAGCAAACATGTTATTGAATACCGTTGCGTACCGACCTTGTGCCATAAACATTTTTCATTGGCTTTTTTTGGAGGATCTACCACAAACCCTTAATGACCAAATGGTCTGACTCAGAGGATCGTTGTTCGATTTTTACAGTTTGTTATTCCAGAGACATTAGATTTAATCAATGTAAATTTACTGACATCGACTTAGTGTTAATATGTCTCTTTAAACAGTGACATAAAATACAATGCTCTAATATTAAGTACTACTTGTGCATGTTTTTCCTTACCATTTTGATTATCGAGCTGAAAATCTCTCTATAACTGCTGTGTATGATATAAATATCGTATTCTGTGTATTCAATTAATTTTGAATTACTGTATGGAAATTTACAGGACTTTAAGACCGCTGGATTTAAATGGACAAAGGAACTGTGTCAAACAGATTCAGACCAAGATGGTCGTACAAATGGACAAGAACTTGGAGACCCAGACTGCACGTGGATAAAAGGCGGAACTCCTAGTGGGGCTGCATCTGGTCACCCAGGTAAGTAGGACAGGAAACATTTCACGTTTATTGAACATGTTGCACTAAAGCCACTGGAAATGTTGCTGAGTAGTCCTCTACAAAACAGGTATTTGTTTATGCTATGTAGAATACATGTTAAAAAATGAAAATAGCACTTTATAATTCACTTGTTGCATCCGAAAAAGCTTGTTTCTTTTACCTACTCCAGGAACCCTCAGACCCAAAAACAATTTGAAAGTCAATAGATATAAGAAGATGTGGTATGAGTGCCAATGACACAACTCTCCATCTAAGTCACAATTTGTAAAAGTAAACCATTATAGGTCAAAGCACGGTCTTCAACACGGAGCCTTTGCTCACACCGAACAGTAAGCTATAAAGGGCCCAAAAAATTAACTAGTGTAAAACCATTCAAACAGGAAAACCAATGGTCTAATCTATATAAAAAACGAGAACTGAACATCAGGTTCCTGACTTAGGACAGGTTCAAACAAATGCAACGGGTTTAAACGTTTTAATATGCGCCAACCTTAACCCTACCAAAAACAATAGTGTAACATCACAAAATAGAAAGACACACTATAAAATATCAATTAAAATGGCTAAGCTAAATCAAAAGTCATATAAACAAAAACAAATGAACATACACTGAACGAATAAATATGATCTATGACACAATGTAAATACAAAATGAAAAAAACAAGGAGATCAGATGTTAACCAATATCAAAAAGACAACCATAACTTGGACAAAATGCCGCCAAATAAAATAACGTACAAAGGTAAATAAAAATAATTTTGTTGTAATAATAATAATAATACATGGAGTACGGAAATAATTTTTAAAAAGATAAATAATTTTGTTGTTCCTAGTACGAGAACACAAGTGAAAATTTATCGTCATACAACACACATATCAAAGGTGGTACATATTAAAAATAGTGAGACTAGATATAACACAAAATTAGTAAACATTAAATTACAAAAAAATTACAAATTGTATCAACAGGTCAAATTAACACAAAAGTACGATTTGAGAGTACTCGCAGTTACTTAAAGCTAGTTAAAAGCCAAAAGCAATTAATAATAAAAAATCATGCATCAGAGACTAAAATCAACTAAAACGCAGCCAGGGATTTAGTGTTTGAACGTTATGGACAGTCAAAGAAGACATGACTTGTGCAATGCCAAAATAAAAGTATCGACAGGCAGTAGGATAGTTTGGAGTTAACCTGTATGTTTAAGTACCCGAGCACGTGAAGAACTTGATGATCAACACAGAAAAAAAAAGTTTATTTAAATTCATTGAAGGTCAAAGTTGGCTAAGGTTGTTGGAATCTTAGTTTCTAAATAATTTCTAAATTTATCATCGGAGATTCAAAGAGAGGCATTTTATAAATCATGTTAGTACCGAGGCACTGACCATTGGCCTGGTGATAATTGTAGTAGTGTTTGTAAGGGGAAAAGAAGTTACTATTTGATAGATATTTTAATACAAAATTTAAGGCTGGGTATAATACAAGGTAAATGAAATAACATCGTGGTTACATAATAATTCAATAATTATTATTTTACTCATTTTTTTTCTATCATTTCATTTTAGGTATTTGTGAACCCCTGAATGATTCCAAATGTGAAACAGTAAATAAAGATATAAAATGTCCATGGAACACAGGAAAATGATGCATATTTGGTCATTGTGTGTAAGAATTATCTCGGAATAGAAGAGCCAATATTTATTTGCAACGCAGCCTTTTTGTTAAATAAAAAAAGTAAGCATTTTTTTGCCGAAAACTTGTTTTTAAATTTTCTTATGCATTCTTTTTACATAAACTATAAATAAAAATAGCATACATTTGCTTGTGATAGACTACAAGTTCCCTTTATGTACTGACATGATTTTAATTTAATATTGATATGTTTAGGTAAACTAACAAAAACAGACGGCCTGATTTTTGCCCAAACAATAAACGAAAAAACAAATATAACAGACAGCAATAAACCAATGAGCTGCAGGCTCCTAACAATGGCCAGGCATATATATATTATGGCGGGATTAAATATGTATATAAGCCATCTACCCTCTCCTAACCCGGGACAGTGGTGTAACAACACAACATAAGACGAACTGTTTAAACAGTAAGGAATGGCTTGACTCATCCTATCGACATGAAGCGCGAAAAACATCTAACTGAAGAGAAAAGACACTAAGTACCTTAAGTACTCGTTGTAAGTGAAAGCCAGTTCAAAGCTTATTACATCATTTTACCCAGGCTAAAGTATCAATTAGTACGCATGCAACGGATTTATCGGAATGACGCCATAAACAGTCATGAGAAAAGCACGACCTTGTGCGATGCCAAGATATGAGTACACACACGATATCGACTGAATTTAGGACCATAATGTTTATGCTCCCCTTGTAGGCAACGGGGACATTAAGTGTTACCCTTGATCGTCCGTCTTTCCGTCCGTCCGTCCGTCCAAATTTCGTCTCCGCACTCTAACGTAAGTTTACCTCATGTTAATTATATGAAACTCATACACAATGATAAGAACAAAAACTAGAAGACAGAATTCGAATTTAGGCAGTTAGTCATTTACCGTTCTAGAATTATGACCTTTTTTACATTGTAACTTGGAAAAATTGCATTTTTCCGTTTCCACACTCTAACTTAAGATTGTCTTATTCAAATTTTATGAAACTCCTACACAATACTAAGAACTACAACATTCAGATAGAGTTCGAATTTTGGTATTGAGTCATTTACTGTTCTAGAGTTATGCCTCAATTTAACTTGGAAATTTGCAAAGCTTGAGCGAGGGCTTTCGTGTCCTCAGACACATTCTTCTTTTATTTCTATAAATATATAGCAAGACATATTTAGTTTTCATTTATCAAGAACACAATCAATGCAAGTACCAAATTTTTTTTTTCAAAGATCTTATTATCAAAACCATGCTTTAGAATAACATTATTCGAAGGATCAGAGAATTTTCATGGATAGTTCTTTTTAAATTTGGTAACGTTGGAATCAATGAATATTATTCGGAAGCATGTGTCGTGTACGCAGAAATCGGCATCATTAGAACTATGCATACATAACAAATGATTGATTTATTGAACGTTCAGCGGAAAAATATTGCATGTATATTTAGGTATATACGATAACATGTTAATGGAATGTGAATATACCATGCTTTGTACTAGTCCGACACGGTCAAATGCTAAACGGTAATTTTCTGCTGCACTCTTGCCGGAAAAATTAGTCCAAACCGAACTGTCTACTCCTGCTCCGAAATGCTAGGAATTAAAAAAGGGATAGGGTATAAGATCACATAAAAAAAATAGTTTAATCTCAAAATATTCATGTACCTTATATGAACCTTGTCAGTGGTTGTCTTATACGTTTTTGTTTTGTTATGTTCATTTCAGATCTTTGATAGCTTCTGTTTAATTTATTCACAACTTGTTAAAACTTGGGAAGATTTAGAACATGGCATATAGTGAAGACGGTATATTGGCCTCTAGCTATATCTTTGATATTTGTTTTGTTTATTTACTATCGTATTGCCGTATACATAACATCTCCTTCCAACTTACTAGGTCATACCAAAACATATGAAATCTATGATCCACTTTAATATTTCCTCACGCAAGGGTGACTGGAGTATAGAAATGTGTTCACATAGACTTCTCCGGTAGTGAAACCCTTGTAACAGTGGACGTCCGTTTGGCTGTTTGGGATATACGCAGTCATGCCCGGTCCGAATGGGGACGTAAATCCAATTCCTTGTTTTGAGAGAGAGCCAAGCTCTATGAACGTAAAAAATCTTGCAACAACACTTTTAGGGGTCCGTTGTTGGTCTGTTGCAAAGATCAATTTCTGCCTCTTTCAAACATACCGTCATTTTCCAGTTGTAGGTGAAATTTTTCCGATCTTAATTCCTGTCGATTTACCTTGCAGGACCTATCTGTTAATTGTTAATGGTTCATCGTCTAAAATATGCAAGAGATAATTGCCAGTGGGTGTTAAGAATAATCAATCGATTCTAGTCTCATTCTTTTTCCTATACAGAGTTGGTTCGAAGTTATACACTTATTGTAAATCTCTATGAGTTACGATCCTTAAATAATTGAAGATTTGCACCCAATAAGCTGTAGTTAATATAAAAAAAGCCTAATAAACAAAATGAAATGATAAACTTTTAGTGAAATTTGGGGTATTTTTCATTCATATAAAAAAAAACCTCAACATTCAAAACCTTTGTGAAATACAAAGAAGTGCCATAACATGCGACATATGGAAAATATAAAACAGTATTGCAAATTTGAATCCATGAAACCTTAAAATTTTGTTATTTTTTTGTGACAATTTCTGCACAATAGATTTTAATAAGATGTATATTTATGTCACAGTAATGTTTGTTTTATAAATTAATACTAATAGGAACCTTTAAACAAATTTACATTGTAATTACATATTTTCTCCCCATTTCGATTAATAAATAACATGGCTATTTGCTTTATTGTATAAGACCTAGACAGAATTAGAAAATTTAATTGTACCTTACATTTTCGCCGTATACTAGTAGTAAATAACTTTTAGATTTGAAAGCATAAAACAGTTGTATTTACTTTAAAAGGTAATAGCACTTTATAAATTTCGTGCGTTTTGAAGCGCTCTTTTGGGTTCATCAGGAACGCCTAAACAACAGAAAGGCAGGGATAAGAATACATGTAATTGTAAAATCTGTACGATTCATCTCAGATCAACTTTGCCCGATGGAGTTCGAAACTTAGTTTCTAAGTAATTTCTAAATTCATCAAAGGGAAATTCTAGAAAAATAGGTTATGTCATGTCAGTACCGAATCATTAACCAAAGATATGGGGTCAATTACTTTTAAAAGTAATTAATTAAATTCAATTTCAATTACAAAATCTTCGATTAAATTACATATTACATAGACTTTTTTTTACCAGTGTAATTAATTTCTTTCCAAATACGTGGCAAATGCATTTAATTACTTCAATTACTTTTGAAATGAAAAATTAAGATAAGATATTTAAAACATGCATTTATTCTATGAAATGTTCATAAGTTTCTATCATACATTGCTTTATAGTAACAACAAATTAGACCTAAAGCGACTATTTTCAAAAGTAATTGTCAATTACAGACAATTTTCGCTATGTAATTCAATACTTTCAATTACTTGTAATTGAAAAAATGTTCAAGTACACATTACATTCAATTACTTGAGAATTTTGATTCATTACGGTCAATTACAGTTACATATTTCAATTACCCCATGTCTGTAACTAAAGACATCAGTGCAGGGTGCTGTGTCATGATGGTTCCTGCATCTCTTAACTCAAAATACACTTTCTAAACATTTAATAACATGTTACCGCGGAGAAAGCTTTTGCTTTTCAGTAAAAAGTACGGAGATACCATAGGGACCGTAACAAACTATAAGTCGAAGAGATGCAAACCAGAGCCAGAGGAAAGTGACGAGGATACATTAATCGACAAAACTTCACACAGAAAATTTTTTTGTAGTATGGTATCACTGATGAGAAATACTTATTTTTTTAAACACGCAAATTGTGCTGAATTTTTTTTGGTAAAACTGTGCATATTTAAACTGTTTGTATATTGACTGCAAGTTCCCCATTATGTACTGACATGATTTTACTTGAATTATATTATATGCACGTACAGCAATTCAAACGAAGAAAAACCAAACGACTTGATTTATGACTAAACAATAAAGGAAAAAACAAACATAACAGACAGCAACCAACCAAAACCACTGAATTACAGCCTCCTTACTTGGGGCAGGCACGAATATGATATGGCGGGATTAAACATGTTTATGTGCCCTCAATCCTCTCATAAACGGGGACAGTGGTGTAATAGCATAACATAAGACGAGCTGTATAACCTGTTGGAAATCGCTTGGCTTCATCACATCGAAATAAAGCTGGAAAAAAAACAACTATCAACAGTAAAAAAAAAACCACAAAGTACCTAACTTAAATTACTCGCAGTTACTGAAAGCTAGTTCAGAGCTTATTTCAACTAATAAATAAATCAGGCTAAAGTATCAATCATGCAACGGATTATGATTAAGTTTCATTAAATGATATCCTTTAGGAAGATGTTTATTCGAAAGAACCGTGAGTGTACATCGAGTTCTTTTGAATGTCGTAACGTTTCGAATCGAGCTAACCCAATGAATAAAATTGAGAATGGAAATGAGGAATGTGTCAAAAAGATAACAACCCGACCAAAGAGCAGAAAACAGCCCAAGACACCAATGGGTCTTCAACACAGCGAGAACATCCCGCACCCGTAGGCGAGCTTTAGCATGCTCCTAAACAAAAATGTGTACTAGTTCAGTGAAAATGGACGTCACACTTAACTCCGCAACAAATAAATGAACTATAATTAAAAAAAACAACATACAAAACATACAAAGGCCAGAGGCTCCTGACTTGAGACAGGCTTAAAAATGCGGCGGGGTTAAACATGTTTAATGAGATCTCAACCCTCCCCTATACCTCTAGCCAATGTAGAATTAACAAACATACAGCAATACGTACAGTAAAACTCAGTTAAAAAGAAGCCCGAATCCGATGTCAGAATAGGCAACAGAAGAAACTAAGCAAATAACAATGATACATAAATTAACAAAGGACTACTAACAGTTACTGACATGCCAGCTCCAGACCTCAAATAAACTGATTGAAACAATATGTCATCATCATATGAAAATTAAGCACAATCCC